TCAACTATATATTGATATATAGATTCTGGAGAAACATATAACCGAAAGTCTACAATTGTCGACATACATTCCTCAACTAGATTGAAAAAACCTTTCAAGTGATTTAGATCCAAAGACCACGGCCATGGCAAAGTGTGAACAACACTCGGACTGAACTCAAGCAAAGGGTATAATCTAGGTAGAAATGATCTTGCTCAATACTGGGAAGGTATTCATAAGCAATACCTACATCAGTTTTCTTCTTGAAACAGAATTGAGAACAACGAGGTGGTAAAACAAAGAGCAAGTATTGTAGCACAAGGGTTTACGCGGATACCTAACTATTCTCCAGAGGTGGAATCTCTTTCCGATAACTTATATCATTGGCAGTACAAAATCATCTATCTGTCCAGTTGATAGGTGTAGTGCTCACATATCCATGTGGATCACTAGATTCAGACACATATGATTGATTCCCGATGGAATCTCGCTTCTGAATCGAAATGCAATACGCAACATACATTGTGTAAAAGCAATAAGTCACCATAAGACTTATTGTTGTCGGTACATATGGTACAATTGACGTAGTGAGTTCCTTATACACAAGGATTACTCCTACAGTGGTGATTATCCATGTTTGTGTCTCTGCAATGATGACACATGTAATCATCTAAACGACGGAGTTTAAATGAAGGATTTGTGTAAACAAAATATCGCTCGTTACTACAACTTGAGCACCTTCATTCATACATTATGGTATACTATGTTGTCTATATCCATAATATATTGGAGAAATTCATTGTGGACAAATCTTATCCATCTATAACTCTCATGGTAGTTCATTCTCTAGACATAGAGAAAGATCTATTTAGACCAAGAGATGATGGAAATGATATATTGGGACTCAACGTTCGGTAATGCCATTGGATCCACCAAACACAATTGGTTGGTACTCAAGAATATCTTTTGATATCTCCAAGGCATCAAACATCTTGTCTTGGTTTTTCAGTTTCACAGAAATGTGAACACCGATATCATTGGATACATCGATCAGATCCCCACTATGGCAGATCATAGACAAGCTTAGTGTTCCTACTAGGTGTGGTAGCCCCCTCATGAATAGTCTTCGAAACAGACCTTATGGCTACATCCACCAACCATTATCTCAATGATAATGTTTCTTGTGTTGCCCGGATGCAAACAGGTTACATAATAAGCAATATCATTATATTGCATATCTTGCAAGTCAAATCATGCGACTGATTTGTTCACCGGGTCTCTACCAGCTTCTACGTTCCAGAAATGTGTTCATGGAATTGGTATATGACGACTTCGGAATATGCAAGAATCAGGGGGAGTATATTCCTGAATTGTTCCTATTAAAAGCATCATATTATACTTTTTTCCCTTCATGAGTTTACTTTATAGGTTCTCATAAAGGTTTTTAGTGAGGTAATATCAACAGACCATATGTCATATTTTCTGTTTTCCCCACTGGGGTTTTTAAGAAAGTATACACGACATATTTATTGTCCTTTTAATTCTATGGGTTTTCCGCATATCGAGTTAAAACAGACAATAAGCATTATATGTTGCGGCATTTTCTCCTTATTTTTCCCACTAGGTTTGAAGGAGTTTTAGCAACATATCAAACACTTTTCTCCTCACATTTTTTCCACAGGGTTTTTGGAGGAGACTCTTTCAAGATGATGATGCTATCTGGGCAAGCATGAATTAGAAGGAGTGTTAAGATTAATTTACATAATAATTAAGGGATTAATCCCCGCTTGCAACGACGGTTGCTTTCTGCAACCCCGTCGGTTCCGTTCGGACCGACGCCCCCTTGTAAACGCCTGCTCCAGTGCTATATATAGCACTTCATCTAATGCAAAGAGGATAGTTACCGAAAAAGGGTTTCCCCCCGCTTTATATTATAAAGCAACAGACACCGATCACAGGGTAACTGCCGGGGCGAACGGCACACCAAGCCCAAAAGGGAAAAAGAAGAAGAAATAAAAGCCAACAACGGCAGCGCGACAAGCACATACGATCCGCCACCGCTGCTCCCTCCATCTTCGTCCCACCACACACCATGGCACTGGACCGCCGTATACCAAGCATCACCTCCAAGAAGGAATGCGACGCCAACGACGCTGCTGCCCGGACATGTCCTTGGGTTTCCCCCGGCATACGGAGGGGAGCAGGGGATGGGTAGCGCCGACGCCCTCCAGTGTCACCGCGTCGGAGCCAGATGAACTGACATAGATTTCTCCCGCATCCCCAAGCACCGCTACCCACTCGAACCGGGGCCATCCAACCATCTTGCCACCCGCAAGCACGCGCCACCACGGTCTTGGACACATCCACGCTGCCCCGCTGCGAACACCACCACAAGGCCAAGGAGACCGGAAAGAAGCGCCAAGCGACGTGAGGAACCACACCGAAGCCAAGCGGGAGGGAACCACCTCCCGCGGTGACGTCGCGGTCGCCGTCCGGACGTGGCAGCAGGGCACACCAGGCCACCCCTGGCCCGGCCAGGCCCGCAACGGGCCCGCAAAGCCCCGCCGGCCATGCTGCAGCAAGCCGGCACCTGCGCCGCCTGCTTCCAGCCGCCAACGCCGCTCTCCCGCCTCCTGGAGGCCACGCCGCCGGCCCGTCCCGCCGCCGGCTCGCCCAAACCCAGATGGGGCCCGAAGGGCCCAGATCTAGGCCGAGCGGGCTGGTGCAAGATGCGCCGCCGCGCCATCCCGCCGCCAACGGTGACGCCGTCG